ATACTTGCTTTCAAATTTGAGTTTTATTGAGTTCTTTTTGTCCGCCAAAAATTCCTTTTTCGATTCAAAACCAAAATCCTACCACGAAAGAGGAATCCGCAAATTGCCTGTAAAATGGGCAGAAGTCGTCAATAATAATGGAAATTATTTGGAATGAATTGATAATAATGGAAATTTGGAATGAATCAAAATTCCTTGATCAATTCATTTCCCCCATCTTAAAACCCATCCATTTCAAAGCCAGTTCTCATTATTCTTGGATTTCTTAAATTGACACAATTTACAGCAATCCTCCTATTACTAGTATTCAACTTATAAATTCAGAGCTGAAAACTTTTCAATCATTCACTTGTTCACTTTGCAGATCTCATTGTACGTTTCAGTCTAAGTACCAAAGTCTCCTTCACATTTAAATTTGATCGAGCAAATCCCGAAAGTAAAGGAAATCCGGCAAAGTAAAATCATAAAATGTTAACCATTTTGCTTTATGACCCAAAAATTCTAGTCAATTCTTGAATCAGATTGTGAGAAATTCACAAAAATGGATCAAGAATTGGAGAAGAAATTTCAAGGAATCGAGAAGGCGTTGAACAACAGAAATTTTGAAATTTAATAATGAAAACTTTCACTTTTTCACAAAAATTTCTTCTTTTTTTAAATTTGTACATATCATTTACAGTGTTTTCTCAGGCTTTTACAATGAATTTTTGTATCAAAGAAAAATCTAACTTGATCACGATGAAAAATGTTTTGAAATCAAAGCTTTAGTGCTACATTGATTTTTTAAGATTGCCCCATGAAAACCCAGAGATTTTTTTATTTTGACCAGTACTCGCTCACAACACAACGTTTCAATTTATCTCTTTTTTTTTCTTTTTCATGCCAAAACTTTCTTCTTTCTCTCATTAACATTTATTTTTTAGGGATCGACACGAGAAGAGAGTTGCAGTCGATCGATTGAAGCCAACTCGAGAAGAAATCCACGCCCAACTGCTTCAACGATTTTCAAGAGCGGCCAAAGCAGCACGAGAAATCAATCAATCAATTTTATGGCAACATAATCGTTGAAGCGAGTACTGCACAGGAATGGTTTCACAAATTCAAGACGGGCAACACGATGAACAAAAGGAAGAGGGGATCGATCGATTCTGAAGCACCGATTCCCGCGAAACCCCGATGGATCAACCCGGAAATTGACGTTACTATGAACGAATGACTGTGTGGCGATGGCTGTGAAAAGTGGAAAGAAATTGGAGGAAACAACGCCAAATCCCAGACGAAATGTCGGAAACAATTCATGCCTAAAGAAAGCGAACATGCCATCATTTGTGAAGCGAATACCAGCATGGTCAGCTTCCTCTCTTGAACATCATCAATCACGATCAAACGTGGCTTTTCTACGATGGTCGAGTGCTACAACGGCAGTGTTTGACGGAAGGGCAAGTAGGGAAAACGATGCCAAACTAGCTTAGAGCGACTCCTCCAAAAACCCCAAACACATCGTAAATTACAAAGTGATTGGTGGTTAGAAGGGTCGGAAAAAAGTCAAAGACAGTAGCTTTCAATTGGCCCTGGCCTGGAATTTCTGGGATCTGACTTGGCTTGGTTTGGCCTGGCATGCATCATTCTTTTTTGTTTTGGTTCTATCAATCTTCAAGAAAACTTCAAGAGAACAAACTCTAACTGATTAACTCGACAAAGCCAAATGCTCCTCTTCCCAAAACTTTCCAATTCATTTGTTGAATCGGATCAAGTGGTGGTAACCTCAGAAAGCTAAAGTTGAAGATTGATTCAAAAGTATAATTTGCTAGAACTTACCTAAAGTGATAAAATCACTAAAAAATGGTTAATCAACCCAAAAAAACAGTCTGAGAAACGTCTAACGGATTTAGTGGTTAACACAGAGCTACATTAATTCTTAAGGCCGGGACTTCCATTTCGGCGTTGTTTATCTCGGAAGAACCGTTAAAAAATTCCGAAAAACACTTTTCTAAGTTCATTTTTTTGCGCTCTTTTCAAAAAGACACCGTTTAAAATTGATTCCGTAAATCTATGATAGACAAAAATGGCTCTGAAAAACAAACAGATTTTTAACTCTGCTTGAAGACTTTAAAAATTGTCTCAAGGTATCTTTCTGAGCGATACTGTATGCTTGGAATAATGTTTCATCAAAATTGGTTCATCAACAATCTACGATAGACAAAAATAGCTCTGAAAACAAAATATAGGGGAAAAGTTGGGAAATCGGGAAAAAAAATTGAAAAATTTCTGACTCACTGTGTGGGCAGCTGTTGCCAAATAACGAATTCATAAAAGATATTCGGGAAAATATTCAAATCCCTTGAAAAGGACAAATATGCAAATAGAGATCAGTCCACTCATCCACATCAACAACTTTTGGGGGAAAATTTTGTATTTAAAGGGGTCACTTGCTAGAGTGACATCCAGAATCTAGTTTTTTCTTTTTTAATTTCAATCTTTTTCTACAGTAATCTGAAAATGAAGACGCTGCTCCTTGCCTCAGCTCTTTTCGCTGTTCTTGCGGCTTTGTGGGTTTCAATTTTGGAATATTCATTGGATGAGTCTGATTGTAAAGCTGATTTCGAAGTAGAATTAATGTCTCAAGAAGAACCATAAATTTTATATCAATCAATATTTCAGCCCATGGCCGAGAGGGAATGGAACTGGTTAGTCAACAAATAGATATATACAATCTAGATTTACACATAAATTTATATATCTATTCTTTTCTAGACAGTAGCAGTAGCCAAGACGATGGAGATGATGGTTTCGAGGGTGGATTCAACAGTGGATTTGGACAGGGTGAGGGGAAATTGAATAAAATTTGATTACTATATAGATTTTGAGTCCATATAATAAAAATAAAAGCAAATTATCTTTAAATGGTAGTTTTTTTCCAGGAAGTTTCGGTGGAAACGGAAATGGACAAGGACAGGGTGGATTTGGAGGACAAGGACAAGGTTGGTAAAAATATTAATATACTTTTCAAAGTAAGAAATTTGCATAAAATGTTAAATCTACAGATATATAATATCTTTTATTCATTTCTAACAATTTCAGGTGGATTCGGTGGACAGGGTGGACAACAGGGTGGATTTGGAGGATTCGGGGGATTCGGAGGACAGGGACAAGGTTTGTTTAATCGGAAATCCTAAGAATTACTTCAAATTGCATATGTTATCTAAAAATATCACTAAATGATCTAAAATTTCGATATTATAGGTGGACAAGGGCAATTCGGCGGGCAAAACGGACAAAACGGCCAAAACGGATTCGGTGGACAAGGCCAGGGTTCGTTATTTTGATAAAACTTTAACACTAGATTAGAATACTGTATATTTGAATAAGAATTGAAAATTAAATACTACTGTATTCCAATAACCATAACCATAATACATATTTGAAACTCGAATCTCTCCAACCTCCCCGAAAAAAAGTGATTCCACTTGCCCTACCGTATTTTGCACTAGAATCAATTTCTACAAAGTAATTTCATTAATACTAATGATTACTGTAGATAATGGATCCTATAAATTGAATATTTTAGGTGGATTTGGTGGACAAGGGCAATTTGGAGGACAAAACGGTCAAAATGGACAGAATGGATTCGGAGGACAAGGTAGAGAATGATAAAGTGATTCAAAGTTTGCATATAAATCTCTAAATTTGAATACAAAAACGATTCTAATTATATTTCTGAAATTCTAGGCGGCTTCGGTGGACAAAGCGGACAAAATGGACAAAATGGCGGATTCGGAGGACAAGGTTTGTTGTAAAAATGGCTAAAAATCAGTTTTAAACAAATTCTAATCAATTATACAACTGAATACTATTTGAAATTGTGGGATTTCAGGTGGATTCGGTGGCCAACAAGGCGGATCTCCCAACAACGGTCAAAACGGTGGAATCGGAAGAAAATAAGCCCATTTCTGCAAATAAACCTCAACGAAGCATTCAAATTCTTCCAAAATCTCTTGCTCTAACTGTTATACCGGTAAAATTTGCGTGATTTTGTGTACAGTTATAAATTTATCCCTGAAAAATTGAAGAATACTTGAAACAAAGGCTAGCTCAATTGCTATATTCGATCGCAAGATGAAGGCAAGATGTAAAGGGTTGTCCGGGACTAAAGGACTGTACAGATCTAGTCCATGTTCGTAAAATAAATGAAAAGAAAGACAAAAACAATATATAGGTTGTAAGCAAAAATATGCAATATCCAAGATACCCCTAGTCTTCGTAATCCTGGACAACCCTGTACAGCTAAAACAACCAAAAAAATGGATGAAGAAGTTGAAAATCAGTAAAATACGAGATATTAAGCTTTCTAAAAGAAAAAAAGACTTTTTATTGAGTAGCAGGTAAGACATTGCTATATTGGAAATATAAGAAAGCGTGAGTTGAAGGAATGTTTGCGAGCACGGGAATGAGGTCGGGGTTTCCGTTGATTCCGTCTTTCCATAGTTTCTCCGGGAAACGATGTGGGTTGCCCGGATTGGCCCAATAATGGAAGGGACATTGACATCGATCGTGAATTCTGTGGCACTGCTGTTGGCGCTGGTACATTGACTGGTACCGACATTGATACGCCATTTAGCAATGTCATTGTCATACTGTCTGGTACATCTGGTCTTTTCGAAAATGCATTTGGTCCTCTAGGGTAGACATTAGGGAGTACATTGACTGATGCCATCACTGGTGCCGCACTTGGTACTATCACTGGCATTCGTGGTGTTACCACTGGTACATTCGGCTTTCCCAGTGGTGATTCCCTTTGCGAGGCTTTAGGTGGTACATTGGCTGGCACTGCCATTGGTTCATTATCATTAGATGATGGTGCCTTTGGTACCATAGTTAATGTATTATTTGGCACAGTCATTAGTCCATTGCCTGTCAGTGTCTTCGCCTTTTCTTTCACATTTGAGTCACCCAATTTTTCGTGAAGTTTCTAAAATATTTCTGCTTTAATGGATTGATTAGATTACTTGTAAATAGTCCCAATGCATTTTGTTCTGGGCCTCGTATTTGCCGTAGAACAGTCTCATTTCGCCGTACAAACCCCTGAAATTTTCTTGTAACTTATAACTGTTTTTCAAACTTCAGCCGTTTCACTTCTGATTTTGCCCTTTCCAAATCGTTTTCTGTCATTTGGGAGAGTTTGTTCGCAATTTCCTAAATTTTACAATTTTTCAATAAAACAAATGCTGACCAATTGAAGTGAACTGATTCCCGAAAACATTCGTCGCAGCTCGGTTTCACACTGACTTTTGAACTCATTCTGATAGTAATCGTGTTCAGAAGAGAAGAAATTTCTCGTTTCCTCCATCATTGTTTTAATCTAAACAGCTGTTTTTGATGGTTCTCTGAACTAATTTTGCAATCCTATGCTCAGAATATGACACTTTGTCAAACTGGAACCTGTTCCTCAACGAGAAGATCATTGAGCGTGTGAGTGCGATGTTTTCGGAGACCACAACTCCCGCAAATCTAGAGTTTTGAAACTTTACCTATACATTTAATGTAAACTAAAAGACTAACCATTACACTGCATTGAACACAGTTGAAGATTTGTGAGATGGGAAACTGAAAACCAGAGTTATTGAAAAAGATGTGCAATTGACAAACGCTTCCTTGGCAATTTTTGCATTGATGGGTTTTCATTGACAAAACCGAAATTTGCTTCTCCATTTCGAGAAGCTCGCAAAGAAATTCCGTGGCCAAAAAGTGCAATTGAATGCTTGGAAAACGAGAGAAAATCAGATAAAGGTAGGTAAAATTCGATTACTTTGGTGGTGAAAAATGTGTACAAAATCGGGATCAGAAATTTTACGAAAACATTTTTCGATGGGTCAACAAATTTACTGATAAGCCCACAATGTCATGATCAGATGTTCTTCAAAGAAGATTTCTAGTTCTTCCATTTAAGATTTTCAGATCAACTTGATTTAACTTTTCTTTTCATCAAAACTTCCATTCTGATTCTTCAATTCATCTAAATTTTCTAAATACTCAAGTTTCACATTTTCTTTAGCAATTCAAAAATTTCTTGAGCAATTCATTTCCCCCTCTTATCACCAATGCACTTCGAGCCAATTCTCGTTTTTTTAGCATTACTTAAATTGATACACTTCCCGGTCATTCCCCCATTACTAGTATTCAACCTATGAATTCAGATCTGAAAACTTTTCAAGGATTCACCTGTTCATTTTGCAGATGTGTTTCAGTCTAAGTACCAAAATCTCCATTACATTTGATTTCCCGTTCCATTCAGGAATAGAGCTAGAGAATTCGGGAACAGTGATCAGTGTTGAGCAGTTTGAGCAAGATTTCTTTGCTGCTCTTTTCGCCTGTTTCTACCAAAAACTACCATTCCTGCGTCTGCGTTTGTTCGCAATGAATGTTTTTGGCGAGAAGGAACAACAAGAATGAAAATATGTCAATAAATGATAAACAGAGCAGAAAAGAGCAGACAAAAATTCTGAGGCCAATCGGTTTTAATGGAACGGATGAATGAAGTTAGATTGAGAATAATCTCGATTTAAGCCTTTAATTCGATTTAACTTTTAAAATCAATTATGTGAGAAAAAGAAAATTATCCTTTTGACAATTTAAATAATAATTCTTGCAAAGCAGCAACTTTTCCCAAATTTTTGAATTTTCTTCTGCAATCCATTTCCACATCTTATCACCCAATTTGACTCCATTTTTACTCATTTCCCCTTTTCAAATCGATTTCTTTTCTTTATTTGCCGATTTTTAGAAAGATGAGCTCGGAAGTGAAGATTTTCCACTCATTGAACTGTTCTCTTTGCGAATCTCCATGTGAGTTTTATCAATTACAAGAAGGAAAACAGATTTTTAAGATTCAAAATTTTCTTGTTGAATTTTGCTGAAAATGATTAGTTGTATTCTGAAATCAGTCGAATTAGTTATCACTTTCTCTTGTATTTGAATTGAATCATGGTTTTCAGATTCGAGGTCGAGTAGCGATCCCAAATATCCATATGAATTATTGTGTGGAAAAGCGATTTGTGATGAATGTTGGAGAAAAGAGAGTGGATTGAAAAAAAAGAAAAGAAAAGATCAATTTGAATTTTGCTGAAAATGATGAGTTGCAGTCTGAGATCAGTCTTATTAATTATAAATTAATAAGAAGTATTTGAATTAAATCATGGTTTTCAGATTCGAAATCGAGCAAAGATCCCAAATATCCGGCTCTATTGTGGTGTGGATGTGCTGTGGTTTGTGATGAATGTTGGAGAAAAGAGGAAGCATTGAAAAAAGAAGAAAGAAAACATGAGTGTGACGAACAAGAGGGAGATTTAAGGATTTATTATGATAAGCATTGCCCCCGCTTCTTACGCGGTAATATTTACATAATCTCTCGTTGACGAATTCTCATTCGAATCATTTCAGATCTTTTAAACGATCCATCAATTATCGAATCTCCGAATGGAAATGGATGGCTTCTTTCGCAGGTTAAAAAGCAATTTCTTATTGACCAAATTCAGTAAAATCTTCAGCCAATCACCAGTCCACTCAAATGTTCGAAATGTGATGTGAAATGTGAGAAAATGGAGATTAATCCAAAAATTGTATTAAGATTCGATGGAGAAAGAGGAAAGCAAACCCGTTTTTCTGTATTGTCGACACACAATTTGCACAAAATGTTATCTAACCCATCGGACAGCTGATTCTAGATGGTTTTGGATGAAATGTGCAATTTGTGACAATTCTCGTTCTTATCCAAAATCCAATTCAATGGCAAGGCATGAAAAATTGCTACTAGGTAAAGGAGAAAATTCGTACAGAATTCAGTGTGAAAAGTTAAATACGAAAATTACTCACGATCAATTTTTCAAGGATAACTCATGCAGAATGTTTTCTTTTAGAATTTCTTCGTGAACTCCCCGAATTGATCGAGCAAATCCCGAAAGTAAATGCAAATCCGAATCAAGGTAAAATCATGAAATGTTAACCATTTCATTTAATTACGCAATTTTAGTCAGCTCTTGATTCATATCGGGAGAAATTCGCGAAAATGGATCAAGAATTGGAGGGGAAATTTCGAGCATTTGAAGAGTCGTTGGACAAAGCGAATGGAACAGTCTGATTGCTTTAAACTGACAAAATGTTTTTGTTTTCATTCTTATTTATAAATTTATCCTTTTTGGTTTCAGTAAAGTGAATACTTGCTACAATTTTTTTACAAAAACAACCAACAAATCCTTCTGTTTTTCGGTCAATTTTCAAAACTCAATCCAATACAGAATAATTCTTTGTAAAAAAACTATACTTACTTTCAAATTTGAGTTTGGCTGAGTATTTTGTTGGGTTTGAGCAATTCATTCCCCCATCTTAACACCAATTGAGTTCAAAGCCAATTCGCGTTTTTCTAGCATTTCTTAAATTGGTGCAATTCACAGTCACAATTCACAATTCCTACTTGTTCATTTTTCAAATTTCAGTATGCTTTTCAATATAAGTACCAAGATCTCCATTAGAGATAAATTTCCCGTTCCATTCAGCAATAGAGCTACAGAATTTGGGAACAGTGACCAGTGTTGATCAGTTTTAAACTGATCATCGGCCAGTTCCAAGTTTGATCAGTTTCAGCAAGATTTCTTTGTTTGTCAACAATTCACCGTTTTTTTTAAAAATTGTTGCTCATCTTCTTTAATGTGGAAAGCTCTCCAAAATTATTATGGGATATTGAAAAAAGTACTGAAGATCTTCGTGGATCGATGCGAGGAAGCAGCCACAAATCTCTTATCAAGCTCTCGTGTGAGTGGATGTTTGCCGCTTCTTTTCATGACTGATTAATATAAGTTGTTGAGTATAAAGAGCACAGAGCACAAAGCAAATGAAAAAACACATTTTTTTGCCAATGATATTTCAGACAATGAGACGAGTTTTTTAAAGGCTGATTCAGGGGAATTTCTATTTCACCCGCTACTCGAATTTGGCTTATTTTTCTAAACTTAGTAAGTTTTTTTGAAGTAAAAACACCTTGGAAGAACTAAAAAAGTTATATCATTCGATGCGAACTTATGGCCTTGACAGCATTTGAAAACACGATTGACTAACAATGAAACAACAAAAAACACAACTGAAATCCATCTTCAGTTTCTCTTTTTCGAGCTGAAAGACCTTTTATAACTTTTCACTCATGCTCTAAAAAGACCCATTGATGAAGTTAATTGAGTGAGAGATCTCTTCCCCATTCGGTTTTCTGTTTCAGAAAAGCTTTTCGATTCTATATTTACGTCTTCTAACTACTTTAAACTGCTTTTGACAGCAAAACACTTTTCACAGAGTCTTACTAGCCATGAACTTTTAATTCTTCAAATAAGCTTCAAATAGCTTCAAATATTCTTCAAATCTCCATCTCCAAAGATTCATTAACAATCATGCTTAAACCAATCAATGAATGAAACTGATGAGCTCAGAGATGAGTTTGGCCTCATCAAGATCACTTACTACACGATGGGTTTGTTTCAAAGATATTTGCTGAACTCAAAATCCTTTTCAGCTTTTTGTTCGATGATCAACCTCTCATGCATATTTCTCATTTTATCAAAGGCACCAAGAGAGATGAGGAATCAAGCTAAATATATTGCTTATGCGAATGTCAGTGAAACGTTTGGCATAACTGACTCAAAAATGCCTTCATCTTTTCCTTAGTCATAACGAGAATTTCCAGTTAGGTGCCGTTCTTCTCGACTTGGATTATGGTCTCTTTTGTCCGATTCGATTAGCGATGATCAACAGGATCGAGTTCACGATGCGCTTCGTTGGTCTCTTGAGCATTTGGGATATCGATCCGAGAATCCAGACAGTAAATGAGGCCAAGAAAGCCACGTTACTGAGCTTTCTAGGTACTGCATCTCTTCTCCGCATGGCATATGATTTTCGCCCTTCACTGTCTCTTCCTGGGTGCTCTTCGACGAATTCTGACGATCGGATCACAAAAAAGAACGATTGCTAGGTGAAAATCTCGAAAATAGCTTCAGCTTCAGCTTGTACATTGGGATTTGAAAGTTGAAAAATTAGTTCCTTTACAATTGAGCTTCTAGTTTTATCGGTCTCATCTCATTGCTGAACGGCTTATTTCTTCTCTCATATTTCGCCGCATTCTTCATCTTCTACAACAAGGCTAAAGCCAAAAAAATGACGCCTTATCTATACTTGCAAACTAAATACATTGTATACCCGGTAACTCATCGTATTCTCTTCAAAACGAAGACCCCACACACGTCCGTGTTCTGTCTCGTCACGGCCACTTGCTGTCAAACCGGCTTGATTCTCGTGTCGGCGTGGCACTTTTTCTCAACGAAAAACACCGTCTCTCTATCTAAAGCGACTATTCAAAAATAAAAAACGTTTCTCAAAAACAGTTTTGTTCAGATGGGAACCGTGCCCTTTAACAAAATCCGCTTCAGCTTCTCATCCCGCTTCCTCTTGCTTCCTCATGCACCGTATTCGCTGGACGTTTCCCCTTCTAACTATCACTTGTTCTTATCGGATTTCTTTCCTTCCTCACCTTTGCCCGTTTCCAAATGCTCGTTTGGAATGATGAGATGCCTTCTGATATTATTGAAGATGAACTCTTGACTCATTAGACCAATTATTCCTTTCGTTAGACCTATTATTCCTTTCGTTAGACCTATTATTCCTTTCGAGTTCCC